TTTTTTTTTTTTTTTTAAAAAAAAAAAAAAAAAAAAAATAGTAGTTTGAGTAAAATAATGAACAAGTATTGTCATTAGTAATTTTTTTTCGTTTTTCAAATTTTTGTTTTGGAAGGTTTTGGAAAGTGTTTTTAAAAAGAGTATTAATATTATTTAAATTTAAATTAATTATCCAAAAAAAAAAATTTTTTTTACATAATCAAATTTTTTAGTGAAAGTTTATCAACATCAAATATATCGTTGACAGCTGAAAATCTTGAAGAAAGTGCAACAAGAATTCTCGAATTGGAAAGAGAGCTGCTGTTTGCAAGAAATTCTATAGCTGAAAAAGATGCTAAATGTAAACGGCTTAGTGATCTTCAGAGTCACATGGACACTGAAGTTCATGAACTTACCGAAAAATTATTTCAGGTATTGTTTTTGGAGGGGCAAATATTTCTTATCAGATTACTGTGTTAAAGATAGTTTTTTGTTGTCAAGACAAATCTGACTATGATTACTATTAACAAATGAGAATTTTTGAAAAAAAATAATAGGATTTATTTGTTGGCTTTTTAGGAAGCTTATAAAATGGTTAACGATGCAGAAGAACGGCGAGAAAAGGCGGAAAAGCTTTTAGCTGAAAGTCGTATGAAAGTATCTATAAAATTTTTTATGTTATATTTTACTTATTTAATAAACTTTTATTTTCAAGCATTATTTGAATAACATATTTTTTTTTAGGTTGTTGTGTTAATTTAAACTTTTATTTTACTTTATTATAGTTGGATGTTTTAACCGCAGAAGTTGAAGCTTTAAAAATAATCGTAAAAGCTCCGTCTGTACACATCGCTCGCGGTGGTGTTGCGACAAGGATTTTTGGAAGTAAATTTGGAATTTTTTCGAGTTGTTTGCCTAATCCAATTTTGTTTCCCATAAAAACTACATTAAAGGAAGTTGTCATCGTCTGATTCATTTACGGTGCAGTAAATAAGCGACACATTGCAGGCAGTAAAAAAAATAAGCGGGTAGACATATATGTTCCGGCGGAAAAAAAAAGTTTAAGTTGGCCAGCTTCAACCAAAGATTCAACGGTGTCTCATAATGAAGAGATGAAACAACAAGAAAATGTTTTTGAAGTATAATTTTTCTGAAAAATTTTTAACAAAGAATTAAGGATGACTAATTTTAACAAATCAGAAATAAAAAAAAAGGTGAAAAAACGAAGCGACAATTTTTTTTAAATAAATATTTTTTATTAGTGTAGAGACATGGTATTTTTGCATAATAAATCTACTTGAAACTTTGAGGTTGATCCTATATATTATCGAGAATTCGCTGAATGGCACGAATCTGGGGCTGTCTTAGATGAGAAGTCACCATTTTGGAAACGAATTGTGACTGAAGAAATAGAGCCCTGTTTAAATTTTGAAAATGTTGAGGTTTGATGATGTTACTTTCCTATTTTTGAGTTTAAATTTTTTCTTGATTTTACACGTTTTTTTTAATCGCATGTTTGTTTTCAAGAATATTTTTACATTTTCTTAGTAAGGTATATGTAAGAGGTGAATTTTTTTACTACCTTTTTTTTTCATGTTCCTCTATGGTGCATAATTTTAGACGAAAAATAAAATTATATCTGCGGTCAAATGTAATGCGTTGGAGTTGGAACCAGTGATTGAACAAAAGCCGTCTTTAAAGTTTGTTAATATTTTTTATTTTTGCATTTTAACAAACCTTTGTTTGTTTGTAGAAAAGTTGTTATCGTAACTTCTCTGCATCGATATTTTCATGAAAAAACTTTTTATATCGGTAGATTTAATGGTTAATAAACTTTTTACATTATTAGGGCATGTGCGTTATCAAATGTTTTTTGTGTTTGTCCATATCGGTTGAGAGTTGCCGGCGGTGAAGAATGGATGTATGTATCGCTGTTGTCTCGAAATAGAGTAAGTTACGCTTTAACCGGCTTTTAAGACAAATTCGTCAGTGTTAATGGAACCTTACGCAAACGTTTTAGATTACAGCCGTCTGTGACTTCTTCACGTACATAAGATACGTAAATCAAGGAATTGTAAAAAGCGGACTTCACGATCTCTACCGAGAGGTGATTAATTTAAGGAAAAATATGGCACTGGCTCGATTAGGCCTTGGTTTTGTACCGAAACTCGCTGACTGTAGGCATGATGTACGCTAAAATAGTTGGCTATAAGTGTGTTGAAGGAAGCTAAGTTTTTATGTATTTCATTTCTTCGTATGACGTTTATTTTTCCAATTAGGGATTTTTAGTACACTTACTTGTTTTTAAACAAAGACATTGTAAATACTTCTAATAATTATTTACTGTAGGTGTTATCTGCTTTTCAATTCACTTCTATGAGTTGTTTGCCAAAGCGTAAGTCGTTGGAGATTCGTATATGATGATATTTTGTTCTGCTTGAGGTTGACCTTCAGGTGCTGTTTAGTGCCATCAGTGATCTTGGATTGCTTAGTTTTTTTCTTTTTCTTTAACTTAGTTACCGGAAACTTTCTTCTACAATGTTTTTTTTGTAAATATGGGTTTTTCAAAGATGTTTATCAGCATTTGAAACTTAAATGATTTATGGTGCTTTTGTCTTCTTTTGACTACGTATTATGAGTATGCAAAAGGGTATTCTGTACAGTTGCTGTTATTTTGCATAATTTTATTTCCGCATATTACTTTTATTATCAGCCAACAAACAGTGGAATGTGAAAAAACACTTATATAGTCCTCTTGAATGAAAATTTTGGGCAAATATGGTTGTATTTAATATCGTCAGCTGTTCAAATCGTGTTTTCACTTGTGACTTTTTTGTAATCGTCCAGCTGCTCTGCACGAAACTTTGTGAATTTTTTTGTTTTAAGTGGCGCATATTTGCTAGTAATTTTTGATTCAACAAAACCGTACATTTTTGAAAGTTGCTCAAATATTGTAATTTTGGACAAAGTCAATTTCTGGTGAGACATCTGTGTGTGACTATATTTGAAAAGGTAAGCGCAAGATTTTAAAGTTGAAGAGTCGTTTCGCAAGTAGTAAAACTCGATCGTTAAATCCCTTTTACAACCCAGTATTTTAAAAGCTTTGATGAATGTTGGTGGCTTTGAGGTGTTCCTAAAAAATTTACTAAAGCACGGCAATGGGAACCAATTAGAAGCACCGCTTCCTATTGAAAACTTCTTTGTAAATGAAGAAGTTATTTGTTCAGAAGTTCAATAGTGCCTAGATAAAATTTTTATTACTTCCTTTCCAGAAATTTAGGCAGCCAGTACACGACTAATTTGAAGGCTAGGTCTTAGTTAGCTTCGTTATGGATGTACAGCCTTACCCATATCGAGTACGTTTGTCCGAAGAATTAATAAACAGCTGAAGTTTCCCAACAGCCACGCTAGAAATGTTTTCTTTGCTAGGCACATTAGAAGCACAACTAAGATGTTTCTGCATCCTCTGAGGAAGCGAACGCGCAATCTGAACAACTTGCAACAACCGACTATGATTGGCAGTTAAGAGTCCAAATAGTTCTCAAAGGCCTTCTGAAGACATTATGTTATCGCATCGTTTCGTAACACTTTTGGTTTAAATTGAAGAAGTACTTGATTTCCTGTTTCTCTGTGGATGAAATGTTTATATAATCTTCCTCAGCCAAAAATCGTTTGGAATCTCTACTCTTTTAATCAATCAATTTCTCTTTCATTTATTGCTGATCATGATAGTTTTATTCCTTTTACTTTACGTAACTAAATAAAAAAAAAATGACCGCCACGAGAGGAAGTTCTGCTGCATCAGTAGAAACTTGATAATGCCAACAAGAAGCCTTAGTCAGACGCTGGTAGTTTGACCCAGTTATCACTGCAGACTATGCAGAAAGTATTTCCATGCCAAAAACCAAAAAGAAAGAGAAGTACTATAAAACCCGCTGAGTTAAAGATACGTAATCTTAAAAGTTATTTACTGTAGTCAACCGCATTCTGTATGTTGAATCACCTAACGTCCGCAATCGTCCTATCAGTAATCTGAATATCATGAGGTCAAGTGTGTAGGATGCAGAGGAGAAGACACAAAGGCCTGACTAACGTCAAAGCAGTTGGCCTGGACTTGAGGAAAGGAACCAACGCGATGCATCCACACATGAAATTCATCCCAAAATTGCTGACGGAAAACATTTCGAAGAGAAGCTGCAGCTTTAAAGGACATCTTCATAAAAAACCAGTATGGAAATGCAGCAGCATTAGAGAACATACTAAGAAGTAATTCAATCAGTACGCTTACAAAGAAAGTGCAGGGACTTTTAATCGTCGACAG